GGTAAATTGTATAGGTGCACTAGTTCGGCGAAGAGATGGTGATACAAGTGCAAAATAGATAGTAGATAAAGGTTTTTGTAATCTGAAATTATAAAAACAGCAAGGTAGCAAGCGATAAAAGTGAGCGTAAACGGTATTGCAATGATAGGAAACAAGGCCTAAGGTTCATACTTTCACTAGTGCAAGTTCTCTCAACAATAATAACATAGATAGATCATATAACAATCCCTCAACATGCAACAAAGAGTCACTCCAAAGCAACTAATAGCGGAGAACAAACAAAGAGATTATGGTAGGGTACGAAACCACCTCAAAGTTATTCTTTCGGATCAATCTATTAAAGAGTTCGTACTAGAATAACACCTTAAGACACAAATCAACCAAAACCCTAATGTCACCTAGATACTCCATTGTCACCTCAAGTATCCGTGGGCATGATTATACGATATGCATCACACAATCTCAGATTCATCTATTCAACCAACACAGAGTACTTCAAAGAGTGCCCCAAAGTTTCTACCGGAGAGTCAAGAACGTGTGCCAACCCCTATGCATAGGTTCATGGGCAGAACCCGCAAGTTGGTCACCAAAACATACATCAAGTGGCACATGATATCCCATTGTCACCACAGATAAGCACGGCAAGACATACATCAAGTGTTCTCATAAAAGACTCAATCCGATAAGATAACTTCAAAGGGAAAACTCAATTCATCATAAGAGAGTAGAGGGAGAGAAACATCATAAGATCCAACTACAATAGCAAAGCTCGGGATACATCAAGATCGTGCCATAGAGGGAACACGAGAGAGAACACGAGAGAGAGAGATCAAACACATAGCTACTGGTACATACCCTCAGCCTCGAGGGTTAACTACTCCCTCCTTGTCATGAATAGCATCGGGATGATGAAGATGGCCACCGGTGAAGGATCCCCCCTCCGGTAGGGTGCCGGGAAGGGCTCCCGAGAGGTTTCTGGTCGCTATAGAGGCTTGCGGCGGCGGAACTCCTGATCTATATTGATATTCAATATTTTTAGGTTACGTAGACTTATATAGGCAAAAGAAGTCAGTCGGGAGGTGCTCGAGGGGCCCACGAGACAGGGGGGGCGCGCCCAGTAGGGGGGCGCCCTCCTATCTCGTGGCCTCCTCGAGGGTCTTCTGACGTGAACTCCAAGTCTCCTGGATGATATTTTTCCAAAAAATCACGATGCCGAAGGTTTCATTCCGTTTGGACTCCGTTTGATATTCCTTTTATTCGAAATACTGAAACATGCAATAAAACAGCAATATGGGCTGGGCCTCCGGTTAGTAGGTTAGTCCCAAAAATGATATAAATGTGTAAAGTAAAGCCCATAAACATCCAAAAAGGGTAATATAATAGCATGGAACAATCAAAAATTATAGATACGTTGGAGACGTATCACTCACCATCTCCATAAGCATACAAAACATAGTGAGCTTCTTTCCTTTGAGGGAGCACATGAACTTATTTAGTTTAGCAAGCATAGGATCATCTATATCATCATCCTGATAACTATCCTCCGCATCAAGATACTCATCACTAGAAGTAGGAGGAGTGAAAAGAGGAGGGTTAATTTGATCATGGAGTTACCTTGACCTTGTTAGGAGAGCTTTGGTCCTCTCCATCTTCCACCACGCCCTTTGTCATTAGGCATTTGTGAGCGTTGCCATTGTAGTCCTTCATATAGTTGTAGCTGACAACATCACCACTCTTGTTGACTAGTCTCAACGTGTTTTGAGAATCTTGAGCAACTCCGGCAACACCACTAACATCATCCGGATCGGATTCTTAATGAGCAATCATTGCTTTCCCATCTTTGTTCTTGAGCTTGGAGTTCAAAGGATTTGGCAACTTCTTCTTGGGAAAGGTCTTGGGAAACCTTGGTTTATCTTCTCTCTTCTCATAAGGGCACTCGTTGGAGAAGTGGTTGGTTTCTTCACAGTTGTAGCATTTCCTCACTTTCTTCTTCTGGAATCTTCCCTTGAATTTTCCTGCGCTAAACTTCTTGATAAAGAGAGCAATGTCTTCATATGACGGGCTCTCATCTGAATCAATCTCATCACCATCCTCCTCCTCCTCGTCTTCTTCTTCTTCACTTTGCTCTTCTTCACATACATGCTTGGCCATCAATGCAAGATTGATCTTTGATGTTGAGGTACCATGCATGGCAAGATGCTTTGTGGCATTTGCCTTTGACTCTTAAAATTGTTGGAAAGTAGATATGATGTCACCCGAAGTCATTTCCTTGAATCCATGGTGTTTTCTTATGCCCCACACCATTTGGTGATGATATGGAGCAAGAGCATGAAGCAATTTATCCACAAGAAATCGCTTGGTCAAGTTAAATCCATCTTGAGTCTTGTCACATTCACATGACTCAATGTTGGCGGTGAGAGTCATGAGACGCTCAAGTAGTTTCTTGGGAGATTCACCTTTCTCCATACAATTTTTTTGTGATTGACCCTTGGCAATTTCATATTGAGCAAGCCGGAGAGTGGAGGTGCTGGTCTTGGTTCTCACAATGGTATCCCATAATTCCTTGGCACTTGTGATATGTATGTATGGTCTCCTTTTCTTGTCGGTCATACCTCTTCTTATGCACATGGTTGCTGTGTCACTGAGATTCTTGTCATATACCTCTCTTGGAGTAAGATTCTTCGGGTCAACAGCTTGGTAGCCATACTCCAAGATCTCCAACATCTCATCATTTCCATATCAAAGATGATCCTGCATAGCAACTCTCCACAAAGCAAAATCGGTAGTTTCATCAAGTAAAGGAGGTTTGCCTTGAGGGTTATACTTAGGTTTCTCTATTTGAGGTCTTTCATAAAGCCAAGGAACATTGGAGGGGAGGTTGTTGGCCAAGTGAAGGAGTAGGCATAGCTGGCCTCGAGGCCACACCACTAGAAAGTGGTGCAAGCATCGTGGTTAGTGTAGCTAACCTCATTTGGACCAAGGCCTCAAGAGAGGCATCATGCTCCTCCTTTTGCTTAGCAAGAGCTCGTTCCAGATCCTCTGAAGTGAAGGACTTGGCTTCCGTGGAAGCCGCACCCGTATTCTTCGGATCTGCAACAAGGGGAGTCCCATCAGGGTTCATCTCGCTCTAGGGCGGTTAAGCCACAAGAATAGAGCACGAGGCTCTGATACCAATTAAAAGGGATCGAGATGGACCTAGAGGGGGGGTGAATAGGTACAATTACAAATTTTAATTATTACTTAGCAATTTTAGGCAATAGTGTGGAATATGAAAGTGAGCCTAACAATTGCAAGAAAGAGCTAAGAAAGATAAACAAATAACCCAAGTATGTAAGTAAGCAAGCACAATATGGTATAAGTAAGTGCTAAGAGACAAGTAACCACAAGTAGAGAGTTAAGGTTAGGAATAACCGCAACCCCGGGAGACGAGGGTGTATGCCGATGTTCACTTCCTTGGAGGGAAGCTACGTCACCGTTAGAGAGGTGGATGTTATCACGACGGCACACCAACGCCACGAAGGCTCACCCTATTCTCCTTTTGAGACAACACCACGGAGGCGTTTCTCAACCACTAGTGGTAGACTTTGGGGTGGTCTCCAAACCCTCACAAACTTTTCCGGGGGTAATCACAATGGTCGATTCCTCTCCGAAACACTCCTACCGCCTAGGAGTCTCCAACCTCCAAGAGTAACAAGAACGATGGGAAAAGCTCAAGAACTTGCTCAAATCACGAATTCCTTTGGTGAGAAGAATGGGAGGGAGTGGATCTATCACTTGATTGGAGAACTTCTCTCAAATGTTCCCAAATCCCTTAGGGATCTAGGATTTGGTGTAGGGAATCAAGAGAGGGAGTGAGATGTGTTCTTGGAAGGCTCAAAGTGAATGGTCAACCTTATCCCGTGTGGGGAAGAAGGCTATATATAGTGGACGTGGAAAAGTAATCGTTTGAGCCATTTAAGTGCACTGTAGAGGTCGGACGTCCGGACAGGACCGGATGTCCGGTGGCATAGATAGGTCCGGACGTCCGACAACCATCGGCCGTCCGGTCGCTGGAGATCCACAGGCCACGAAACAGCACACAGCCATCGGACGTCTGGAACGTGCCGGTCGCCTGGGGACCGGACGTCCGGAGAAGACCGGAAATCCATAAATAATGTTCTGTTGAGAAAGTGTTGGACCTCCGGAGGAAAACAGACGTTCGGAGACCGGACGTCCGGAGAAGCTCGGATATCCGTAAAAATCGTTCTGTGAAGAAACACCGGACGACCGTGAAGAGCTGGAAGTCCGGGCAGCTGCGAGGGATCGGACGTCCGGTGAAAAAAGGAGTTGGTGGGTTTTGAGCAACTCTTTCACTAGATCCAACGATCCCCTCTTAATAGTGCGGGATTCCTATACTCAAGAAACAAAGCCGTAAAGAAAGAAAAGCTAAAGCTATTTTCTTGTAACTCCGATCTTGAATGATATGCATTTGTCCCTAGTTATGATCCACATACGCCCTTGAGACTTAATCCTGAGATACACTTGATAAAAATGATTAGTCCCTTGTATGCATGTTGTCATCAACATCAAAATAAGATTAAGGACATGATTGCACTTCCGGCTCTGCTTATGATGTGTGCTACATGGTTGTGCTGGAGTGTGCTGGTAACCTTACCAACTAGCAAAAGAGGTTACCACACACCAGGCGTTGCATACAACCAAACATCATGCCTTGGGTTTGTCCACTAACATGCAGGCAACCAAACACCAGGCAGTGTGGTTCTGTCCATGTAGGCAAGAGGGCATGCAGGCAACCAAACAACATGCAGATGATGCATTTGAGGCTGCATTTACATACAGGCCCGGCCCTGATGGGGGGGCAGGGGGGCGGCCGCCCCGGGCCCCCGAAACAGAGGGGCCCCCACGTATGTGTGTTCTCTGTATCAGGCCCATGAGGAAAAATGATTCTAGGCAAATTTTGATGCAACAGACCTGTACATGCGAACATTACATGCGGTAAATCAGCGATTCCCTAAATTGGTGGAACTTCCGTTTCCCTCGCATAGGTCCGTGCATGATGATATGAGCGATATCACGCACGACTCCTCAAGTCCCGCAAGTCCATGTCCGACCCCGCCGCCGACACAGCCTCCTCCCGCAGATCCCTCCCCCGATGGTTCCTCCTCCAATGGCGGATCGAGTAATTTCATGTTCATCACCATGGAAAGGAGTAACAATACCACCGGCCCTGGCAGGCAGAAACTACAGATTGATCAGGTTAGCATCTTCCTGATGCATCATCCAACAAAGCTAGATAGATTGATATGTGATTTATTAGTGGCAGAATTAGGAGATAGTGAATTAGCGAGAAGACTAGGATGCCCGTCTGACTAATTTTTGAATGGCAATCCTTCTGACTAATTAATCTGGTTGTGTTGGATATCGATGAAAGACGAGGGTAGAGGATGTGTAGAATCTATGGAACAATGATGATAGCCAAGCTTAAATTAATTGGAGGATTCATGGTCGATTCAATATTATTAGATGGCAAAATTAATTTTTAATGTTGCAAATTATAAAGTTATTCCAGCTATGCGGGGGAGCTCAAATTATTTTTGTTTGCCAAATTATGATGAAATATACAATGGATGAAACTTCCCTGTCAAAATCTTAACAAAAGTGAGAAATACTTAATATAACAATATATAATTAGATCCTGGAACTAGGTCGCAAGCTGGTTTTGCACCCCATGATAAAAAAAAGAGCAATTCATGTTTAAAAAATTATCTTTTTTTGAGTTGATTTTTAAAAAATTAGCTAAGCATGCACATAATGATTATAATTTTGGATAATAAAGGACCCCAAGTTTTATTTTCGCCCTGGGCCCCCGAAATCTCAGGACCGGCCCTGTTTACATAGCCAGGCTGAGTGAAAAAGGTACGCAACGCAGGTAGTGTAACGCGCGGCAATCAAACACGCCCAAGATGCACTGGACTGTATATATCTTTTTTTTGCGGGGTAGGACTGCATATATCATGCTAGTACAAGCAATCTTATTTTAACTGAAAGACGCAGACAGTGGCTTTGATCTAGCCCATGTTCAGAAAGGCTTCACGCATGGCTCGGTACCTGGGTTTCAGCCTCTCCACTGGCGGCGGGTGATCCTTCACCGGCGGCGAGTCCAAGAATCGGCCCATCCACGCCGACAGAGACGGGAACCTCTCCTCGGTGACCAGCCTCACGCCGATGATCTCCTCGTACATCGGGACCACGTATGCCATCGCGCCCAGCGACAGGTCGACGAGCCCGACGCTCTCCCCGGCGAAGAACTCCTTGCCGCCGACGGCGAGCAAGTCCTCCAGGACCTGCAGCTGCTCCACGGCGGCCCCCAGCGCGGCCTCCTGCCCCTCGCCTGGCGCCGCCGTGAACCACTTCCAGATCGGCGGCGAGAGCTGCATGCAATATATTGCTCAGAGTCGGATCATATCGTCTGCGACGAACTAACCGACTTGGATCGAACTTGGGAACAGAAGAAAACCGCTGCGCTGACCTTGTCATGCACGAACCTCACCCAGAAGCGGGCCATGGCGCGCTGGTAGGGGTCGTCAGGGAGGATGCGGCCGCCGCGGTGGCTCCACGCCTCATCAACGAACTCGACGATGACGTCGGACTCCGCCACCGGTCTGCCGCGGTAGAGCAGCACGGGGACCTTCTTGTGCACGGGGTTGTGCTCCAGGAGGTCGCTGCTCTTGTTCCTCAGGTCCTCCTCCACGTACTCGTACTCCACGCCCTTGATGCTCAGCGCCCATCTCACCTTGAGCACGTAGGGGCTCGCCCACATGCCGAAAAGCTTCACCTTCTCCGGCCCCTCCTCTTGATGATCATCCATGGCGGCGATGGCTATCTAGTATTCTAATGATCCGTTTGGCCAGTTTGCTGGATTTGTAGTGTTTTCTTGTGGCGGAGATATTTTGATGGCTCCAGTGTTTGATTAGTCAGGTCCGGTGGCTTGACTTCCGACTGAGCAGTCTGGACGATCGACGTTGCTTCCTTCGTTTTCACAGTTAATGAAAGGCCCAGCCAATTCAAACATGAAGACCTGCAATACCAGATCACCGTATTTTTTTTGGCCATGCTTCAGCCGACAGATCTTTTCAAAAAATCTGCCGCCTCGACGGCCGTTAGATGTGACGCATCACCGTCTTCAGCACTGTAACAAATGTAGTATTGCAGAGATCTAGCTCTTTGCAATAGAGCTCATGTTGCAGAAACCATTTGCAATATGGGTGATGTTGCAAAAGGAATTCGGCTTCACATTTTTGCAACATGGGTGTTCTTGTGGAAGGAAATTTTGCAGCACAAATGATCTTGCCGAAAAAATTGCAATGGAGATGATGTTGCAGAAACGCCGCCGTCGTTCGCCGTCGCCCCTTGCAACCCGGTCGTCGCAATTACAACAGGGAGGCGACCGGTGATGGTCAAAAACGTCATGGAGGAGGTCGGCGGCAGCCGTGCCGAGCTCAGGCGCACCGCACGGCCGACGGTAGTAGTGGAGGCGGGCGGCTGAGGCGGTGACCACGACCGACCCTAGCTGCAATAACGCACCGCAACGGCTGACGGCCATGGTGGAGGCGAGCGGCAGAAGGACGGCGGACGATGGAGGTCCCCAGCAATGGAGAAGAGGAGGTCGGCCATGGTGGCAGCTGGAGTTCATGGTTGGCTGCAAAGACGAGAAGAAGAGAGGTGGAGGAGGCAGGTAACAGGGTGCAATGATGGAAGCGGGGCTCGCCGGCGACGGCTCTCCCAGCGATCGGCCGGATGGAATCAGGCGATGAGGTATCGAGGGAAACGTTGTGTTGACATTGTTTAGTGTCTGATAGACCTGTATTACGTCTGATAGACATGTATTGCAAGAATTGCAACAAGGGCCGTATTGCAGAAGTTAGCCTATGGTGTGGGTTGCTAAGTATCGTCTGATCAAACGGTTGTGGAGGTGGTGCAGGGGGCTGGACGCACGCGGTATTATCAGTCGGGTGGAACATAGCGTTTCTGCTTTTTTATAGTTATTACTTCCTCCAATTCGTATTAATTGATGGTATTTTAGTATAAATACACTAAAACAACATCAATTAATATGAATTGAAGAGAGTAATATATTAATTCAAACCTATTCACTCGATATATAAAACTCCCCCTGTAAACTACTCCCTTCATTTCAAAATATAGTACGCTCGCGCTTCTTGAGGTCTAACTTTGACCATAAATTTTAACCAATGAGACCGACTGCAGTAGGAGAAAAAATTATATAACTGAAAACTTCTTTTGAATAAAATACAAATTAACTGGTATAACTTTTGCTCCCGCCGCAGTCGGTCTCGTTGGTTAAATTTATGGTTAAAGTTAAAGCACGGGGATAGAGGAAGCACTATATTTTGGAACGGAGGGAGTAATATAAGAGTAAACGCCTCACTTCTTTTGGGGTAATGTTGGAGATAATCATAAATACCATTTGGCCAATTGGGGGCTGATTTCTCAAAGGAAAGAATGGGGTGGTTTGGGTGTCCCTAATCTTAAGGAGTTCAATATGTCTTTCTGCATGGAGTAAACATTTTTTTGATGATAGAGAGAGTGATTGGAAAAAAATTCTTAGATTTAAGTACAGTGTGGATAAACCAAATATCCTTTGGTCCAGAACTGGGGTGGGCTCTCCTTTTTGGAAGAGTATCACTTCGGCATTTTCTGCTGCTAATTTTTTTTATAAGTGGATCCCTGGGAATGGGAGGAATGTATCCTTTTGGCATGACACCTGGATGGTGATTATTCACTTAAAACCAGGTTATGGGATTTGTTTGTTATCTGTCAGCAACAAGATGCCTCGGTGGCCCAGGTTTGGGATGGATGAAGATACTTTACGTTCCTGGGAGGAAATGCTAAATCTGGTTAGAGGGTTCTCTCTGTCTAATGCTGCTGATAAGCCTGTGTGGACCTTAGAAAGTAGAGGTGTTTACTTGTGAAATCTCTTTACAAAATGATCAATTTTTGGGGAATGGTTTCTGTTTGGAAAGATTACATCTGGAGAATTAAAGTTCCACCTAATATCCATGTTTTTCTTTGGTTAATGGTGCATAACAAGAGCTTAACTAGGGGTAATTTATCAAAACGTCAGTATGTGGAGGATTTGACCTGTGTCTTCTGTAATGAACTTGAAAGTATTCATCATCTATTCTTTGACTGTGTGGTGGCCCGACAAGTTTGGCCGGTGATAGCTGAGTGTGTTGAGATTCCTATACCTGAATCATTCAAGTCTTTTATTCCTTTTTGGAAGAAGAAGAAAAATGCTATGATGCAATCAACTTGATCTCTACTACTACCTTGTGGAGCTTATGGTTGCTTCGGAATGAATTTGTTTTCCAAAGGAAAAGTTGGCGAAGTATCAGGTGTGTGCTGGATTTGGTGGGAAGACATATTCGCCAATGGAAAATCCTGTGTGTGGACTCCCAAGCTGCGCTACTCCTTCGTTGCTTGAGGCTGCTCGACCATCATCGCGGGGAACTGCTTAGAATCGCTTGGTGGATGGATGGCTCCAGGAGAGTCATGTAACGGAGCTGCTAGATCATCTTTGTATCTCTGTTGCTTCTCTCCGTTGGGGCCATAGACTCGTTTGTAGTTTTTCTTCCAAGGGGGAGGTGTTTTGAGACTGTTAGCTATTCTCTCCTGTAATAATTCTGCTACAGCTGCGTTCTAGCTGGAGCCAAGAGCTGTTAACAGTCTGCTACGATTGCCTTTGCTTTTTTAATAAAAAATTGAGGCAGGGGGCAACCCCTTTCATTTAAAAAAACTAATATAAGAGTATTTAGATCACTATTTTAGTGCTTTAAATGTTTTTATATTAGTTTACGGAGGGAGTACAGTTCTAGAATTTTATCCTTCAGCTTCTTCAGTTTCATTTCGGAAAAAAAAAAAGCTTCAGGCTCTTGCATGGCTGATCGATTTTATTGTTTTTCTGATCAGAGTCATGGCTGCCGATTAATGAAATCAAATCTACAATGTTCGCACCACGTTTAGGACTGCATGGTCGGCCCACAAAGATCATTTCCGAAGTGTTGTTCAGCATTAATCAAATCCAACCTCCAGTAACAAACAATGGTACAATGGGGGTCGTATGCGGTTTTTTTCCTGTCCTTATTTCTTCACTTGTAGGATTATCTTTTGAGGATCATTATCTTTACACCACGCACAACCATGGGTCGAGCCTTACACCAGTTTGTCACGAGAATTCCACATCACATCTCGTCTCGAGGTTCTTTGGTGGTTGATGACGGCGAGCACTCAGCCTCAACTGCCAAATCCTTGACGACTCGTCGGCATGGATCACCAAATGCATCATTCGAAACACTGATTGCACATTCGTTGTTGCCCACACACGCCTGGAAACGAGGAAAATAATAATAGTATTATGACATCTGGTAGATATTCAGATTAGTGTAATGACGCCTGGAAACACTGATTTGCTTCAAGTTAGTGAACAAAGTTCATGCATCTGTTCCTTATCTAACAGACTGAATAAATAAAATAAATAAACATATAGTGTAATCACCGACTTGCTCGGAGTCTCTTCTCATTTTCGGGATCAAGTTTAGCCTTGCGTTGTACAGAAACCACGGCAAATTAACCCCTCCAAATCTTTTATTTTCTTCTTTATTAAGAATTTTGCAAACACTGATTGATGCACATGAGCGTGGGAAACTAAAAAGGTGCTTTCACATTCGTCCATTAGAATTTTGCTAACACTTTTTATGATTGATGCACATAAGCGTGTGAAATTAAAAAGGTGCTCTCGCATTCGTCCATTTAGAATCAGAAGAAATTTACTAGGTTAGCAGTCGTGACTTGTCAGCTTACCTCTGATACCAAGGCAAGAGTACTCGAAGCATGGCACTTTCCTTCGGAGAAGTTCTGGCAACCACCTGATGGAGTTCCGTAGCTCGCAAATGTAATCTTAGTGATCAAATGCCCATCATCGCACCGTAAGCGCAGTTCTGGTGCTATAGTATCAACCAAGACACGACCACTGGTAAGGCGTGACCAAGCAGAAAGGGGAGGATAATAGCTTTCTGATATCCTTGAGCAGATTGTTTTGGTATAATGAACCTCCAGTGATATCTTTGAAGGGTCACCCCCTGTTTCTTCAAACAATACCAGAAGATTGTCCGACTCCTGCAGCCATTCTCGTGGTATGTGGTACCTGATTGGAAATAACAAGGTTTGAGAATATAAAAAATGGTTATGTCAAAGTAAAAGGCTAGTTTTCCAAACAAAAAAACACACTGAAATAAAAAAATACACATTAATCTTATCAAATGAATGCAATCATAAGAATTTAGAGTAGACTAATCACATTCCATCAGTAGGGGCTATGGAAGGATCTACTACTTGCACAAGCCTAATCACTGTAAGCAGATAAAATAAACGATGATGTTCTTCTCTGTTGAGAGGGTCGCCCCATTATGTACTCCCTCCGTCCGGAAATACTTGTCATCAAAATGGATAAAAGGGGATGTATCTAGATGTGTTTTAGTTCTAGATACATCTCTTTTTATCCATTCTGATGACAAGTATTTTCGGACGGAGGGAGTAGTAGATAAAATAACCAGCTTGTGGAGCAGTAACTCTTCAATTGACTCCCAGGAGACCTTGGGCGCCACGCTCACCAGTGACCCCGGAACACAAGTTTCGTCACAGTTTTCTTTTGTGTGGATAAAATCTCGTCACAGTTGAAGCAAAGACCCTGACGATGACGTTCTGGCAACTCAGCTGGGGTGAGGTGCCAAACTTGCCATGGTGCCGAGCTAGGTGAGGCGCAAAACAGTTGCTAGTGGTGCTAGCGGG